TACCCCTCTGGTTCAGGTGTAGACCATCCCGTTTGTAGAGGTCCCACCTACCCCAGAACGAGCTCCAATTATCCAGGTATCTGAATCCCTCCCTCCTGCACCATCCCTGTAGCCACGTTTTCAACTGCTCTGTCTCCCTATTCCTCGCCTCACTAGCACGTGGCACGGGTAACAAACCAGAGATAACAACTCTGTTTGTTCTAGCTCTAAGCTTCCATCCTAGCTCCTTGAATTTCTGCCTTACATCCCCATCCCTTTTCCTACCTATGTCGTTGGTGCCTATGTGGACCACGACTTGGGGCTGTTCCCCCTCCCCCTTAAGGATCCTGAAAACACAATCCGAGACATTACGAACCCCGGCACCTGGGAGGCAACACACCAACCGCGAGTCTCTCTCGTTCCCACAGAATTTCCTATCTGTCCCCCTAACTATGGAGTCCCCAATGACTAATGCTCTCCTCCTCTCCCCACTTCCCTTCTGAGCAACAGGGACAGACTCTGTGCCAGAGACCTGTACCCCATGGCTTACCCCTGGTAAGTCGTCCCCCCAACAGTATCCAAAATCGTATACTTGTTTTTGAGGGGAACGGCCACAGGGGATCCCTGCACTGTCTGCCTGTTCCCTTTCCATCCCCTGACTGTAACCCATCTACTTTTTTCCTGTACCTGAGGTGTGACTACCTCCATGTAACTCCTCTCAATTACCCCCTCAGCCTCCCGAATGATCCGAAGTTCATCCAGCTCCAGCTCCAGTTCCCTAACGCGGTTTCCGAGGAGCTGGAGTTGGGTGCACTTCCTGCAGATGAAGTCAGTGGGGACACGAGTGGTGACCCTTACCTCCCACATTCTACAGGAGGAGCATGCAACTGCCCTAACATCCATTCCCACTGTTCTGAATTCCCAAACAGACGATTAAAAAAAAACTAGTAGCCTTACCAAAACAGCGCTCAGAACCTTTTTTTTGGTTAGAGGAGGGGAATGGGTGGGAGACACTACCTAGGTAGTGTTTCGGGTAAAGCAACGGCCCAAATATATTACCTCACTTACTCACTCCAAAAATGGAGTCACGCGAGGTAAGACTTTTATTATCGAAAAGCTTACCTTCCCAGGCTGCCCTCGCGCTTCCTTCCGGACTCCCGCCGCTGAAACAACTGAAAGGCCGCAGTCACGCGAGGTAAGACTTTAAAATCGAAAAGCTTACCTTCCCAGGCTGCCCTCGCGCTTCCTCCCGGACTCCCGCCGCTGAAACAACTGAAAGGCCGCAGTCACGCGAGATAAGACTTTTATAATCGAAAAGCTTACCTTCCCAGGCTGCCCTCGCGCTTCCTCCCGGACTCCCACCGCGGAAACAACTGAAAGGCAGGTTCAGGAACTGCTTATTCCCAGCTGTTATTAGACTGATGAATGGACTCTCTAGCCTCAAATAATGCTGATCTTGCTAATGTTAATTTTACCCAGTGCACACCCTGTGCAAAGTAACCTGTATGTCTCAGTCTAAGTTTTTCTGCAACCTTTAGTCTGTACATTCTTGCTTACTATGATCTGCCTGTACTGCTCGTAAACAAAGCTTTTCACTGTACCTCAGTACATGTAATAATAAATCAATCAATCAAATTACTGCAGATGCTGGAATCTGTACTTAAAACAAAAAATACTGGAAATCACAGCAGCTCAGGCAGCATCTGTAGAGAGACAGCAACCTAACGTTTCAAGTTTAGATGAATGTTCATCAGCTTACATAAAATGATAAGTTTCTCACCTCCGTTCTCCTGCCTTCTTGCTGTAACCCTTGGTCCCCTTACAAATCAAGAACCTATCTATCTCTGTTTTAAATATACTCAATGGCTTGGCATCCACAGCCTTCTGCAGACAAAGATCCACAGATTCACCACTCTCTGGATGAAGAAATTCTCCCTTATCTCATTTCTGCAGTGTGGTTCTTTCACTCTCAGCTTGTGCCGTAGGGTTTTAGTCTCTCCTACTCATGGAAATATCTTCTCCACATCTACTCTATCCAGGCCTTTCAGTATCCCCTAAGTTTCCTCTAAGATTCTCACTAATCTTTCCAAACTCCATTGAGTACAGTTCCAGAGTCCTCAAAAGCTCCTCATATGACAAGCGTCCATCACTGGGATCATTCTTGTAAACCTCCAATGCCAACCCATCCTCAGATCGGAGCACAAAACTGCTCACAATATTTCAAGTGCAATCTGACCAGAGCCTTATACAGTCTCCATCCTCAACTCCAACAAATGAAAGGATCTCATGAATTATACTTGTCATTCAGAATAAGACAGTCAGTTCCTACTAGCTGAAAATATTCTACCTTATCTCAGTTATAAAGTGTCATTCCTTCATTCTGAGGCTGTGTCCTCAGATTTTCGTCTCCCCTACTCATGGAAAGATCTTCTCCACATCCACTGTGTCCAGGCTTTTCAGTATCCTTTAAGTTTCAATGAGATTCTCACTAATCTTTCTAAACTCCGTCAAGTAGTCCCAGAGTCCTCAACTGGTTAAACCACTTTTGGAATATTCTGGTCTAGCTGCGATTGGAAATACGCTATTAAACTTGAAAGGGTGCAGAAAAGATTTACAAGGATGTTGCCGGCATTGGAGCGTTTGAGCAATAGGGAGGGGCTGAATAGGTTGGGGCTAATTTCCTTGGAACATCGGAATTTGAGGGGTCACCTTATAGAGATTTATAAGATCATGAGGGGCATGGATAGGGTAACATCCAAGGTCTTTTTCCCAGGGTGCAAAACTAGAGGGCATAGGTTTGATGTGAGAAAGGAACCCGAGGGGCAACTTTTTCACCAAGAGGGTGGTGCATGTATGCAATGTGTATGAGTTGACCACACTATGACTCTATAACTGCTCCACATAAGATAAGCCCTTCATCACTGGGAGCATTCTTGTAAACCTCTAATACCAACATATCCTTCCTTACATACTGGGCTCAAAACTGTTCACAATATTCCAAATGCAGCCTGACCACAGCCTTATAAAGCCTTAGCTGTATACCTCTGCTCTTGTATCTAGTCCTTTTGAAATGAATGCTAACATTGCATTTGCATTCCTAACTACCAAATGAACTTACATGTTAACCTTAAGAGAATCTTGAACTGGGAGTCCTAAGTCCCTTCATGCTTCAGATTTCTGAAGCTTTTCCCTATTTAGAAAATAGTGTATGGCTCTACTCTTCCTACCAAAGTGCTAAATTTTATTTCATCTGCACCATCTGCCCAATGCCCCTTTCCTTCGTCCAGATCATTAATGTATAATAAGAATTAGTTATCCATACAAATCTCTATTAGTCACTGTTTTCCATCTGGAGAAAGACCCATTTATCCCCAAACTCTGTCTTCTGCTGTGAACCAATCCTCTACCAATGCCAGTACTTCACCCCTGACACCATGGGCTCTTATCGTATTTTGCAGCATCTTATGTGGTACCTTGTTAAAGGCCTTCTGGAAATCCAAATAAGTGATGTCCAATGGCTCTCCTTTGTCTAAGTAACTCAATAACTCCTCAAAGAATTCTAACAAATTTGTCAAGCATGACTTCCCCTTGCCGAAGTTGTGCTAACTAAGCCCTATTTTACCAAGCAGTTCCAAGTACTCCAAAATCTCATCCTTAATAATGAACTCTAAAATCTTACCAATAACTGAGGTCAAGCTAATTGGCCTGTAATTTCCAATCTTCTGCCTCCCTCCCTTCTTAAACAGAGGGATTACATTAGCCATTTTCCAGTTTTCTGGAACCAGCCCAGACTCCAGTGATGCCCGGAAGATCACTACCAATGCTTCTACAATCTTCTCAGCTATCTCCTTCAGAATCCTAGGCCGTCGTCCATCTAGTCCATGTGATTTATTCATCTTCAGACCCTTCAGATTGCCCTTCTCCTTCATGATGGCCACTAAACTGACCTCTGACCTGACTTTCTTGAAGTTCTGGTAGGCTTCTGGTGTTTTCCACCATGAAAACTAATGCAAAGTCGCTGTTCAGTTCCTCCACCATTTCTTTGTTTCCCATTACTACTTTTCCAGCCCCATTTTCCAGTTGTCTGTTTAGTCGTACCTCTTTATATGTATCAAAATCTCTTTAAATATTCTTTTGTGTTACTAGCTAGCTTATTGTCATATTTCATCTCCCTCATATTGCTTTTGTAGTTGTCCTTTGCTGGTGTTTAAACTCCTCGCATTCCTCTGGCTTCCTACCAATCTTCACCACATTGTATGCATTTTCTTTTGTTTTTATTCTCTCCTTGACTTCCCTTGTTTTTCTAATGAACCTGTTCAAAGATGTTATTAAACACCACTGCAGTGGTGGGAATTGAACCTAGCTCTCCTGGTCCAAGAGTAGGGACATAGCACTTAATCACAAGAGGGCTGCTCTGACTTGTTAGGAAGGATTGTCTCGTTCTGCCCTAATATGTTTCTAGTGCACAGCTGCTGAGTAGCGACTGAACCAGTTCTGAGGAAGAGTCACTGGACCCGAAACGTTAACTCTTATTTCTCTGCACACATGCTGCCAGACCTGCTGAGCTTTTCCAGCAATTTTGGTGTTTGCAGCGACTGAACCAAACTCTGCCAATGGGAGCAGGGAACGGAACTGAAGCACGGTGCTGCAGCCCGTCTTCTGATCAGTCAGAGTGAGGAGTGGGACTAGAGAATTGGCGGGGAGTGAACGCTTCAGGACTGGTCAGAAAGGAAAGAAGCGAAAAGTTTTCCAAGTTCCTTTCATTCTCACTACATAGTAGTGCATTACATCTCTCTCAGAAATCAGTGAGACATCTTAACAAATAGTTGAGATGCAGATCACGATAATTTGCATATTTCCAATTAATTTACGGAACTTCGTCTCAAGTCCCCAGAGCAATTGTGAATGGTGATCCTTCTCCCTAAGATTCCTCGAATATTAATATTCTCTATGCACTCAGCAACAGCTCAGGCGCAAGCGCAGTTTGGTTTGTATCTGGGGCATGCGCAGTGTCACTTCAATCAGGACTGGGAGACATGGAACCCGTTTCTCCGGCGGAAGCGATCGATGGCAGAAAGAGGACTACGGAGCCGTTGTGGGGCAGCAATGAGCGGAGACACTTCATAAACACCTCGTGTAAGTCTCAAACCCCTGAATAAGACTCTCCCGGCCCTGCGTTAGAAGATGGCAGTCTTTGTCCGGGGAAGAGGCACTGGTTTACAGTGGCCATTTTTTTGTCGAGGGCATAGGGAGGGCGGGCAAGCTGTAGAGGTCCTCCATCTTTATAGGGTCGAAGTGCAGTAGGGCGCATGCGCGACGTCTGGGTGATTTGTGACGTCACTGGGGATGGGTCTACAAGAAGCTAGTGTGAATGAGAAAACTGGCAGCAGAGGGTGGGGAATGAGTGAATGTGAGAGGTGTTGCGATTGATATCTACAGAGAATAATGGAATGGATGAGAGCTTCAGAAGCAGATGAGTTGAGACTGGGGTGAAGTCGGTGATGATACAGATGTGGAAATAGGTGGTTTTACTTTATTGATGACGTGGACATGTGGTTTGGGGGTGAAATAATGGCACCAAGGTTTTGAACAGTCTGCTTCAGCACCAGACAGTTGCTAGGGAGAGAGATTCAGTTGGCAGCTGGGGGATGAAGTTTGTAACAGGGATTGAGGGCACTGGCTTTCATCTTTCTAACATTTGCTCAAAGGAAGTCGCTGTTCCTTCAGTAATGGATGTCAAACAGGTCAGGATGGTGTAATTTGAGGGGTAACTTGGTGGTGATGGCATTTACTTAGATATACTGCCCCAAGCCTTTGTGCTGGTGAAAATCCTGTCAAATTTCTGGACAAGTTTAGATATATGGAGTCCCCTTTCTTTGCGTCCTACCTCTTTGAGTTCCTTCCCATGTCTGTCTGTTTTCTGTCTCACTCTGCTCCATAATTGTGCTACTGTCTTGTGCAGGCCCAATCAGACACAGTAAGTTCCTTACTGAATTGACTCCGCCTCTGATCTGTTTCTATGACAAAGCAGCAGCTCTGATGGTCACTTGTCCAAAATGCCACCCCTCTGCCCCCACTTATTACCAGATTCACTCATTATAATCTCGCAACCTGTATTTATGTCTTTGTGGCTTCTGTCTCATTCACTTTTTCTGTTTATATCAATTAACAGGGTATGAAAAGAAGAGGATTTGAAGTCAGGCTACTGAAATCAAGCATCACACTGTGATCTGATGGAGTCACCCAATTCATCACAACTAGACTATCAACAGATTTTAAACATGGAAGGAGAAAGCACTGTTCACAGTGGGGAGAACAGATACATGTGTTCTGTGTGCAGAGAAGGCTTCAGCCAATCAAGTGGCCTCAAGAACCACAAATGCAATCATGCTGGGGAGAAACCGTGGAAATGCGGGTACTGTGAGAAAGGGTTCAGTCACCGTTCTGCGCTTGAAATTCATCAACGTGTTCACACTGGGGAAAGGCCATTCATCTGCTCCCTTTGTGGGAGGGGATTCACTCAGTTATCCACTCTATTGAAACACCAGAGAGTTCACAGTGAGGAGAGACCTTTTAAATGTCCAGACTGTGGGAAGTACTTTAAAAGTTCCAGTGATCTGATGTCCCATCGGCGTGTTCACACTGAGGAGAGACCTTTTAAATGTCCAGACTGTGGGAAATGTTTTAAAAGTTCCAGTGAGCTGATGTCCCATCGGCGTGTTCACACTGGGGAGAGACGGTTCAGGTGCTCTGACTGTGGGGCTGGCTTCAAGTGGTCATCTCAACTCACTGTTCACCAGCGCATCCACACTGGGGAGAGGCCATTCACCTGCTCTGAATGTGGAATTGGATTCACTCAATCATCCCATCTCAAGTCACATCAGCAGGTTCATACTGAAGAGAGACCTTTTAAATGTACAGACTGTGGGAAGTGCTTTAAAAGTTCCCACTATCTGCAGTCTCATCAACGTGTTCACACTGACGAGAGACCTTTTAAATGTTCAGAGTGTGGGAAATGCTTTAAGGGTTCCGGGGAGCTGATCGTCCACCAACGTGTTCACACTGACGAGAGACCATTCAGATGCTCTCACTGTGGAAACGGGTTCAAGAGATCATCCCAACTCACTCTACACCAGCGTCTTCACACTGGGGAGAGGTCATTCATCTGCTCTGAATGTGGGCAGGTATTCATTCGGTTCTCCACTCTGTTGAAGCATCAGCGAGTTCATTCTGGGGAGAGGCCATTCACCTGCACTCAGTGTGGGAAGGGATTTTGTGAGTCTTTCCACCTTAAGGCACACCAGCGAGTTCACACTGAGGAGAGACCCTTCAAATGTCCAGACTGTGGGAGGAGTTATAAAAGCTCAGGGGAGCTGAAGTTGCACCAACGTGTTCACACCGATGACAGACCATTCAGGTGCTCTCACTGTGGGACTGGGTTCAAGTGGTCATCTCGTCTCGCTGCACACCAGCGCACTCACACCGGAGAGAGACCGTTCACCTGCTCCGAGTGTGGGAAGGGATTCACTCAGAAAATTCACCTGTTGACACACCAGCGAGTTCACACAGGGGAGAGACCTTTTAAGTGTACACACTGTGGGAAGTGCTATGTAAGATCCTGGGATCTGATACGCCATCAACACGTTCACTCTAATGAGAGGCCTTTTAAATGTCCAGAATGAGGCAAGTGTTTTAAAAGTTCGGGAATTGATGCTACAATGTTCACACCAACGAGAGACCATTCAATGCCCTTACTGTGGGACTGGGTACGGACGATCATCCCAACTCACTGTACACCAGCATTTTCACACTGGAGAAAAGCCATTCATCTGCACTGAATGTGGGAAAGGATTCCCTCAGAAATCCCACTTAATTGGCACACCTGCTGAGACAGCAGCGAGTTTACGAGTGATTTCAGGAGTCTGTATTTTTCTGTTAATCACATCCAGGATAAAAGCACATTAAAACATCCAGCCCAGCTTTATGTGATAACACTATGGGTAAAGATAAATATTTGGATTTTAATTGAACACACAGTCTGCTGAATCTATTTAATATCCCAAACAATTCCTTTGAATATAAATCAGAAAACTAGATGCCCATGTAATATGGGCTGTAAGTAATAATAGGTGATTTCATTTCACATATAAAGTGGGAGCAGCTACTCAGCACGAATGCTGTGGAGGGTGAATGTCTGCAGTTCGTACTGAAGCAGAACATTGAAGGACCAAGCAGGAATCATATTGTTTTAGGTTCTGTAAAGAGACACTGTAATTTATAACTTTACTGTTAAGGGGCCTTTTGTTGAATAGAGACCATAATGTGGAATTTTTAATCAAGTTTGGAAATGATATAGTTCATTCTGGAGTTAGGGTCTCCAACCTGAACAATGTAAATATAAAGATTGGAATGGCAAGTTGGCTGTGAGGGATTGGTAAAACAGTGATTTGAAAGTACACAGGTAGTAATAGGATTTGAAGATGTATTGCATGGTTTACAACAATTATGCATTTCCTGAAGACAGGAAAAATAAATCAGCTATGGCTGACAAAAGGACTGAAAGATTACATCAAATCAAAGATAGTGGTTTTGAAGGTTGCACAAAAAAGCGATAAACTGAGGCATTGGGAGTAATTTTTAATCTAACAAAGGATGATCAAGAAACTAATGAGATAGAAGATGTATGGAAGCTCACAGGAAACATAAAGGTGGACTGTAAATGTTGCTTAGGTATATGAATGCAAAAAATGCAAAAGCCTCCCAGATTGGCATCCTACCTATCAGCTTCAACATCCACTCCCTCATCACTGATGCACAGTTGCAGAAATGTGTACCATCTACAAGGTACACTGTAGTAACTCACCAAGGCTCCTCCAACAGAACTTTCTCCCAACCTGTCACCAACAAAGACAAAGACAGTACATGCATGGGAATACCACTTATCGCAATTTTGCTGTCAACCCATACTCCATCATAACTTGGGCCAAATCACCTTCTTTCATAATCACTAGGTCAGGAATACGGAACTCTCTTCTTAACAGCACAGTCAATGCCTTGATAGCCCAAAGACTGCAAATATTCAAGAAATCAGATCACTACCACCTTTTCCTGGGCAATTAGGATTGGGCAATAAATGCTGGCAGAGCCAACAACACTCATCTCATGAATGAATAGAAAATTATAGGAGTGATTCTTCACTGAGCATTTGTAAAGGATGTTTCAGGGAAAATGGATTAAACTGCTGTTTATGTTAAGGTCTTTCAAGATTGTCATATATACAAAACGTGTTGTTTATTGAAAAAACATTGGCAGTATCATGTGAATATGTTCAGTATCTAACCACGATCCTCTCCAAATGTCAAACATAAAATTTATGATCTATCAAGCCAGGTTTCACTCAGAGATCCAGTAATACCATCCAGTGGGATCATAACATTTGGAGCATTACCGTGATCTCATTGAAACTTACGTGATTCTTACAGCGTGGATGTCGCTCGGATTTTTCCCCTGGCAGGTGAGTTGATAACCAGGGGACATTGTCTCAGAAATAAGGTATAAATCAGGGTGAGGAGAATCTTTGGAATTCTCTAATGAGAGGTTCATGGAACCTCAATCATTGGGGATGTTTAAATCATAAATCAGTAGTTTCCTGAAGTGAATGACATAATGGGAACACTCCAGGAAAAAAAATGACCAGCCATGATTTAATTGAATGGTGCAGCAGGCTCAGAGGCTGAATGGTCCACTCCTGCTCCACGTTGAAGGGCTTTCCTCATGTCTTCCTTTTTCAAGTCTAACAATATGAGGAACTGTTAACTTTGTCACTCAGAGTAAGACCACCTGATCTATTCTCTCTGCTGTGTTCCTCACTTCCCGGAGCTCATCAGGCCAAACTGCCTCTAAAGTTCTTTGAACCCGCCACCTTATATTCTCCAGTTTCCTATTTCCATCATGCCCTGTCAGTGCTCATCTTGTCCATTTAACCCAACTGTGAGTCCTTCAATCTGATTCCCAGGGTGTCCTCCAAGGATCTATGCTTGGCCCTTCATATTTCTCATCCACTGGGCAACATTATCCTAAAACTGTTACTTTAAACATGTCCACTAACAACATTCCACTCCACCTCACTACCATCCATCTCCATTCCTCCACTGTTGCTAAGTTATCAACTTGATTACTGCACATACATGGCAGATGAGCAGAAATATCCTCCAAATGAAAATTAAGAAGACCAAAGCCATTATCTTCAGTCGCCACTGTTTCTTAACTACCAAGTCCATCCCTCTCCCTCGGAAATGTCTAAGGCTCAACCAGACAATCTGTTAAATTTGACTTTAAAATTAGCTTCTGATTGCGTATCACTTCATATTGCATGTTATTTGCCTTCAAGCACACATGGGTAAAGAGTAATTTCATCCACATAGGAAATATTTTAGAAGTTTGCATCTATATTGATATAAACTGTTTCCATTGCAGGACGATTGGTAACATAACTTTAAAGTAAGTGGCAAAAAAATCCAGATAAGTATGAGGGAAAATTATTTTACTGAGTTAATTTGGATGATCTGGAGGATATTATCTGAATGTGTAGTGGAAGCAGATTCGACAGTAAGTTTCAAAACTGACTTCAACTCTTCTCCTATAAGGAAAAGTTTTCAGTATGAGGAAGAAGGTGGTGGGGAGTGACACAGATTGTCAGCATTTTCAGAGACAGTATCAGCACAATGGGACCAATGGCTACCTTCTGAGCTGTTAAGATTTTATTGTATGGATTTATGATGAATCACGGTTTAATTATTTAGAGTTCCCATTTCATTAATAATCTCTTGCTTCTTCCTTCAATAATTGAGAAATAATTTCACCAATAATCACCACTAATTTGTGAAATCACAAAGTTATTGTAATTAATAATCAGAATCTTATTACATCAATATTAGGATCCTGTTACTTTAAAGTCACTTGCCGATTGTAAAGGTTGTACAATCTCAAAGTTATTTCATTAATAATCAAAGTCCAAATACATTAATAATCTGTTATTAATACCCCAGCTGCCTCCCCTTCCCCCATTATCAGCAATGCTCAAACTACTCCCCAAAAAAACTTTACTTTTGGGTGACACAGATTCTGAGGTATTAAAAGGAATGAAACTGGAAAATTCTGGGAAGCGGTGATTCAATAAAATTCATTTCTAGATTTTAAATGCATTGATCTAATTTCCTGTCTCATCAGTCTCTGTCACAATGTTACATCTCCCTGCGAGAAGTTATTATTATCCATGACTATCAGGTGTCCTGGTGGGTTGTTGATTTGGTGTTGGCATCTGTTTCACTCCATTCCTCACCCTGCAACTGTCAGATGCAGTGCTGTCAGATTGTACAGTTCAGGCAAGTGGTTATCAAAAGTGCAGTTCAGACCAAAGAGCTTTGAACCAAGGCATTGGTTATGATCAGTCAGCTGCATTAGGCAGTTTACATCATCTGCATGCCTGACACAGGACTTCCAAAATAAGCTCCCTAATCTAAGCAAGCATTTGCTCAGAAAGAGATTTCCTAGTCGGCAAAGAAATGTGTTCGGTATACAATTTTTTTTCTGAAAAAAGGCAATATCCCAATTTGCTTGGTGGGATATTTGGCCAAATAAGATTCAGTTTGGAGAAAAAACCTCTTGTGAAGAAATCAACCATTTTGAGCATCTCCAACAGGCCTAGATGGAGAATAAAGGTTACCAATGGAAGAAGCATTTGAATATCTAAGCATCATATCCACTCCCTTCAGCAAATATCACCTGTCCCACAGGTGGCAATGCTTGTAGATCCAGCATTGAACTATTTAATAACCACAGGTATCCAACGCTGGGGTGGAAGAAAATCATCCTTAAACCACGGTGACAGCTCAAGAAGAAGAATATGATCTTACAAAAGGTAAGTGCCGGACAGACATTCAGCGCACGTATTTCTGGATGGTGTGAATACATTTCTCAGTCTAAAAGTATAAATCACTATATCCCGCATACTCCCTCCTTATGTAAGCTAGAAAAACAAACTCATCTGACCATCTCCTTGCTTTTAGCCCAAATCTCCTTCGCTGAAGATGCTTCCCGGACTCGTTTTCACAGTCACAAAAACAGAAGTTGCTGGAAAAACTCAGCAGGTCCGGCAGCATCTGCGAAAGGAAATCAAGAGTTAATGTTTAGGGTCTGGTGACCCTTTCTCAGACTGATGATAGCTAGAAAAATGTCTGTTTATGTGCAGAAGACAGGGTGGGGAGAGGAGCTAAAGAGTAAATAACAGGGCCCAAAGAGAGAACAGTTGAACAGACAAGGAAGTGGATAATGATCTGGCTAGGAAAGTGAATAGCTGTTAGTGGACACCATTAATAGCTAACAATAGGTAGTGTGTAACAGCAGACTATGTGATAGCAAGGCCTGGTGTTTTTTTTAATACATTCATGGAATGAGAGCATCGCTGACAAGGCAGCATTTATTGCCCATTCCTATTTGCCCACAGGGAAGTTCAGAGTCAATCGCATTGCTGTGGGTCTGGAGGCACATGTAGGCTAGACCAGGTAAGGATGGCAGTTTCCTTCCCTAAAGGGCATTAGTGAACCAGATGGCGTTTTTTTCCTGACAATCCACAATGTGTTCATGGTCATCATGGGATTTTTAATTCCAGGTATTTTGTAGAATTCAAATTCCACCATCTGCCATGGGAACCTGGCTCCCCAGAACGTTATCTGGATCACTATTATCAGTCTAGCGATAATACCACTAGGTCATTGCCTCCCCATTGTTCGGTGGTGGGGGGGGAGCAGTTGGAGTCCCCACGAAGACTCTCTGCACAGTGGCTAAGGGGTCTCACAATAAAATCCAGTGACAGCCCACATATACTGTGTGACTGAGTGGTGATATGTCTCACCAACTTCCGCTGCACACTTTTCATCCCACTTTGCAGAGATAGGCAGTTCTGTGTGTGTGTCCAGGAAAGCATGTGGTGAGGGCAGGTGCTGGAGCTATGTGCAAGAAGGATCTGGCTGGAAATGCATTCCACTCTGTGATCTGCTGGAGAACAACAGCACCCGCTGTTTGTGTGGGATGGCCACTCGGATCAAAGAGTCAAAGTGTCTCCAACTCCAAGTGGATGCAAATTCCACCCCCCGAAATCATCATAATACTGGAAATTGACCAATGGGAAATGGAGGAGGATCAGAAGTCCTCTGGTCCTCCAGCCAATTAGATAGAACATAGAACAGTACAGCACAGTAGTACAGGCCCTTCGGCCCATGATGTTGTGCCGAACTTTTACCCGAAACCTAAGGTCTATCTAACCTCCACCGCTACCTTAGACTACCATCCATATGCCTATCTAATAGCCGCTTAAATGCCCTTGAGGCCAACTCCACTATCCTCTCCAGCAATGCATTCCACGCCCCTACCACTCTCTGAGTAAAGAACCTACCTCTGACGTCTCCCCAATATCTACCTCCTTTCACTTTAAAACTATGTCCCCTCATAAAACTACCTCCACCCGAGGAAAAAGTCTCTGGCTGTCTACTCTGTCTATACCTCTGATCATTTAGTACACCCCTATCGTCTCAGTGTGGACATTGGATAATAAGCTTCTGAAGAAGCGCCGCTGGACCTGAAACATTTCACTCCTGATTTCTCACCGCAAATGCTGCCAGACTGCTGAATTTTTCCTGTGATTTCTGTTTTTGTTTCTCACTTCCAGCAACCACAGTTCTTTCAGTTTTTGAGCTTCTGAAGCTGCTCACTACTGCCCAGCAAAGCTGCTGTTTCTCTCTCTCCCTCAATGAAAATTGAGCTTCACCCAGACTGAACCTTCCTCCTCTGTCCAATATCTGTGAGCACGACAGTGTCTTATATCTTACTTTTTTTTAGAGAAAAAAAACCTAGGATTAAATTATTGACTTGTAGCAACCGAAGGGAAAGGCCTACGCTTGGTTCGCAACAAACAACTGCACCTCCCAGTCGCGAACCATTTCAATTCCCACTCCTTGGACGACATGTCCATCCTGGGCCTCCTCCAGTGCCACAACGATGCCACCCGAAGGTTGCAGGAACAGCACTTCATATTTTGCTTGGGAACGCTGCAGCTCAATGGTATCAATGTGGACTTCACAACCTTCAAAATCTCCCCTCCCCCTACCGCATCCCAAAACCAGCCCAGCTTGTCCCCGCCTCCCTAACCTGTCCTTCCTCCCACCTATCCCCTCCTTCCACCTCAAGCCCCACCCCC